CCTCCCCCTCCCCCTTCCCCTTCCCCTTCCCCTTCCCCTTAATGTTCCATTCCACCGCCCCTCTGGGTAAACTCTTCCATCTGGGCCCAAGGTCCTGGGCTTCCGCCTTTCCCTCTCTTATGTCCCAAGTGACTGCAGGCCTTCTCATTTCACCCTCTTTGCTTTTAAAGGTGTAGCAGATTTAGCAAGTATAGCTGTGACTGCCACCTACTGCAGTTTTCAAAAAAGCAAAAATCCATATTCTCTCACCAAGGTCAGAGTTTCGGGAGAGTGTGTGTGTGTGGGGGGGGAGGGGAGGGCAGCAGCTGTGCACACTGGGAAGCAGTTTGCTTTTCATCCTGTTCCCCAGACTATCAAGGTGGGCGGAGAAAGTACTCGCATGCCATGCATGCCTTTCACACCTGGCTGATGAAGGGAGGGGCAGAGGGGTAAATCACAGCATGCAAGTACTTTTCCCCTCCCTTGGTGATAGTCCGGGGAATGGAATGAAAAGCAAACCACATCCCAGTGTGCATGGCTACTGCCCCTCCCCTCTTGAAACTCCACCCTTACCTCTCACCTAGTCTTAGATCCTCAAAAAAGCAAATGAATGTTTTTGAATGCTATCCCACTTTCCCACTGCTCTCACCAGTCCTTTCCGATGATATTTTTCACCCTGAGGCAGCTCAGTTTTTCATAGACTCTTTCTGTGTAATTCTCCCTGCTTTGCCAGAGATGATGCTCAGCTATTTCTTAAGGGCTTTGCATGTGTCACATAACCCATTTTTGTGCTTCTTTAGTAAATGTGAATTACCATTCAGGTCACAGCAACTGGTTACCACTTTAAATATAATTATTTCATTTCTTTCATAGATACTAAGCACACCATTATCCTCAAGGTTAGGACATATTTCATAAAGCTTTGGCCTTTTTCTCTTTGGTCCATAGTTCTTGCCAATCCTACTTTAGTTATCTCATCATCAAACTTTTGAACTCCTCTTTTCTTGAAGGGATCTTCATATCAACCGCCTCATTTTTAAGGCATTTTAATTGCTTTATCTGACATTTCATTGCCCAGTATCACAGCAAGAGCCATAGTCCATGGAGTTACTATAGACATACCTAATCTTACTATTGCTGGAATTGAGAACACTATTTC